TGGCATGAGCATGGCTCACTGCAGCCTCCACCTTCCAGGCTCAAGCGATCCTCCCACCTCACCCTCCCCGGTAGTGGGACCACAGGTGCACACCACCACACCCGGCTATATGCTGCTTTCGAGGTTATTTTCACTCACATAATTTCATTGAAATTTATCCACCAGCATTTTTAAAAAATTAACTGTGCATAGTCTTCAGTGAGATGTGTGCATTTTCACCCGTCTTTGTTCATGCCTTTTCCACTGCCTACAATGCCCTCTACCAACCCTCTCTGCCAATCTGTATTCATTTCCTTCAGCGTATCTCACTGCTGTGTGCCTAAAACCATCAGACTTATTTCTCTTCCCTTATCAATTATGTATGTTTCCCATACCATATCATTTTCCACTTGCAGGTAGAAGACAGGGACCATGCCTAAAGATAAGAATCTTTATATTCCCAGCATCTAGTACAGTGCCTGAAATGTAGGAGGTATCCAGTAAATAATTTTTTGGATGTATGAATGATTGAAGTTGCTCTACTGGATTCTTATATTGTGTCTTGGGTATGTGCTGTCTTCCCAACTAGACTCGAAGCTACGTTGTAAATTTGAGAGCAGCAACTCCATTCTATTTACTAGTATAGGCGAGGTCCCAGTAAGGGTTGCCGTAGACATTTGTATGTGGCTTCAGTGAGCGTGTGTCTTTGTGTACGTGGGGGTGAAGTGAAGGCGTGGTTGTGGGCTGGTTTCCCAGCTGCCCAGCCTGACTTTCCACAGTCAGCAGGATGGACCTGGAGATGTCCGGGCTGAAGACCCTGGAGCACGTGGCAGTGACAGTCTCCATTACTCACCCACGGCGCGGCAGCTTGGAACTGAAGTTGTTCTGCCCCAGCGGCATGATGTCCCTCATCGGCGCCCCCCGCAGCATGGACTCGTACGTACACCCGCCCAAGGCCTGAGCAACCTTTCCAGCAAGGGCCTTTCCAAGGAAAAGAAATGGGAGCAGTGGATCCTGGCACTGTCCTAAACTACTGTGGCACTGGCTATCCCTGGCGGCTGGAAGCCTTTCATCACATGCCTTCTTCAAGTGCTAGGCCCTGCACCTCACATACATGTTCTCTAATCCTTCTAAGAATCCCGTAGATTAGACTTTGTAACCTCTTTTTACAAATGAGGAAACTGGCCGGGCGTGGTGCCTCACACCGGTAATCTCAGCACTTAGGGAGGTCAAGGCAGGAGAATCACTTGAAGCCAGGAGTTCAAGACCAGCTTGGGCAACAAAGTGAGACCGTCTCTACAAAAAATTTAAAGATTAGCCAAGCATGGTGGTATATGCCTATAGTCCCAGCTGCTCAGGAGACTGCGGTGGGAGGATCACTTGAGCCCAGGAAGTCGGCTCCAGTGAGCTGTGGTCATGCCACTGCACTCCAGCTTGGGTAACAGAGTGAGACCCTGTCTCTAAAAAAAAAAAAGAAAAAAAAAGAGGAAACAAGTCATGGAGCTAGTAAGTGCCCAAGAGAATAAGAATAAACCTAGATCCATGGGATTCCAAGCCTGTGCACACTCCATGCTTGCTTTTTCCACCACATCACGTTAACACAAGTTCCTCCTTCCATGAGACCCCAGGGGCAAGGGGCACCTGGGAACCCCTCGGGGCACCCTCCCAAGTTTCCATGGCTACTACAGGGAGAAAGTGTTGCTGGGGGAAGGCCAGCTCTCTGGCCCACGCCTTCCACCTGTTTCTGCTGTGTTCTTTCCTCAGGGATCCCAACGGCTTCAACGACTGGACCTTCTCCACTGTGCGATGCTGGGGGGAGAGAGCCCGAGGGACTTACAGGCTTGTCGTCAGGGATGTTGGTGAGCCTCGTGCCCTTGCACCAGGCCCTGCCTTTCCTGCTTGTTATCTGGTCCTCACAGAAAGTGTCCCGTGTGCAATATATAGGGTTGCCATTGGACCAAGAGGGTTGATGCCAAGAGTGTGCCCCATCCATGAAATAGGCATTGCTATCTGAAACTGTTCATTTATACTGCCTCTCATATTCCCTGGAGGAGTGACCCACCCATTTTTCCTAGAATAGCAACAAAAGTCCTTGTTGAAACCACATTTCAAGTCCTTTTACATATAACCATCCTTCGGCCAGCCCCAGTAGGCAGGTAAGGGCAGGATTCATTTCACCATTTTTTTTTTAAACTGGCCCAGAGGTTTGAGGTGACTTGTGGAAGGTCACCATAAGTGAAGGCCACAATGTCCATGAATTTTGAATATCTTTAGTGTCAGCGTATAGACTGGAAATTGAGCTCAACCCTCCCATCCTCCAGTCAGGTTAGGTATTCCCTAGGCCAGTGGTTTTCAAAGCTTTCTTTAATTTGGTAGAAAGACATTTTCTCCAAGCAGAATCCCAGCTGAACCCCCAAAATATGGGAGAGAAAAGCAAGACTCTGCTTTGGAGTACAACCTTTCAACCTTTTCCATCCCTACGGGCACCCAGTGAGGCCCTTCTGCAGATCCTGGGGTCAGTGGGACAGAGTGAGGCAGCTCCTAGAGCAGACCATGTGGCCTGAGCCCCTTTGGGTGGCAGGGTGGGCAGGGCCTCTGCTGTTTGGCATGGCTGACAGAGGGGCGTGGCTCACGAGCTGCCCCTTGCTGCCCTAGGGGATGAGTCATTCCAGGTCGGCATCCTCCGGCAATGGCAGCTGACCCTATATGGCTCTGTGTGGAGTCCAGTAGACATCAGGGACAGACAAAGGTGGGTAAAGCTGCATGTGTCAGATGGAAGGCCACTCACAGGGGAAGGGCCGCCTAGGGAGCCCATCGCCCTCTGAACCCCGGCTGTGTTTCCCAGCTCCAGCCTCAAGCCGGGAGATGGAGCCCTGGGCTGGGAACTCAGTCTGGGCCTCTCCTTTCTGCTGTGGGGCTTCCCTGTCTTCAGCTGTAAGAGGGGAAGATGGGTGAGGGCAGATGGTATAGGAACCACAGTCAGTGGGGCATCCTCTTGTCTTCTCCACAGGCTGCTAGAGAGTGCCATGAGTGGAAAATACCTGCGTGATGACTTCACCCTGCCCTGCCCACCGGGGCTGAAAATTCCTGAGGAAGATGGTTACACCATCACCCCCAACACCCTCAAGGTACTAGGGCCAAGACTCAAGCTGCGGGTAGACGGGACTGTCCTGTCTTGGGAATGGAGTTCTTAGTGTGCTTCTCAGGGTGACCTGCGTGGTGAAGGACTGGGAAGACCTGGGTCCCAGCAGTGGTTTCATAGCATTGCTCCTACCCTGCTAGCCTAACTCTTATAGGACAGGTCTTGTTCAGGGGTGGGGAGGGGGAAGAGTTTGTGTGAAAAAGGCAGTCCCTAGAAGGAAAAAGACTTTCTGAGCTCATTGTCCTGGGCTGAGAAAGGCTGTAGGCTTCGGGAAACAGTGCCTCACATAGGTGCTTGCCTCGACCCCAGACCCTGGTGCTGGTAGGCTGTTTCACCGTCTTCTGGACTGTTTACTACATGCTGGAAGTATATTTGAGCCAGAGGAATGTGGCTTCCAACCAAGTTTGTAGGAGTGGACCGTGTCACTGGCCCCATCGGAGCCGGAAAGCCAAGGAGGAAGGGACAGAGCTAGAATCAGTGCCACTTTGCAGCAGCAAGGATCCAGACGAAGTGGAAACAGAGAGCAGGGGCCCTCCCACCACCTCTGACCTCCTTGTCCCAGACCTGCTGGAGCAAGGGGACTGGAGCCTGTCTCAGAACAAGAGCACCCTGGACTGCCCTCATCAGCACCTAGACGACCTACTGCATGGGAAGGAGGAGCAGATCTGCTGACCTCAGGGCCTGACAGTGTGGGACAGGCTCTTCTTTCCCAAAATTAGGGCGCTCTTGAGAGAAAGCAGCCCTGATGCTTACATGTGGAATCTGAGGCATCCTCTGACTCCACTCAAAGAGAGTGAGGGCCTTCTTAAGATACAAATGGCAGAGGATTGCTGCCAGAGAAGTCTGGTCAGAGCCACAGGGTCTTCCTCCAGCCAAACGGGAACTTTTGGCGAGAAGGTGTTGGACAGGGGATTGGTGCCCCCTTTGGGTTGGCCTCCATCCTCATCTCTCTTGGGCCAAGCCGGTTGCCTAGGTTCCCCACACATGGGGGACCCCCACCCACATATGAGTTAAGAAGATGCCTGCCATAGCCAGGAGCGCATCTCAATGGAAATGTCACTGGGGTCACTTGGGAAGAGGACTTTGGGGTAGAGGCTGGGAGGAGCCCCTGGACTTGCCTGTCCTGAAAGCGGCTACCTCCATCATCCATTCCCAAGATGCCTGATCAGAAGCCAACCTTGAATGAACCCCTGGCTCCTTCACCTCCGCCCCCACGATTGGTACGATGCTGCTGGCACAGCTGGGATACACACACGGCTCCCCCAGGCCTGAGCTGCTTCACTAGGGAATCCTGCGGCAGGACTGCAGAGCAGATGGCAGACGCGCGTGTTGGAGGAGAGAGCCTTGGGAGCCACTGCCACTCCAGTCCTGCCACCACCCTGTCTTCCTCTGCAAGTGCTCAGGGAAATGGCCTTCCCGCCGGAGGCTAACTATCTGCCTGACAGGCTGTGACTCTTCTCTCAACCTTGGCCTTCTCCCCTCTTCTGAGCTAGTTGGTTGAATTTTTTTTTAATGCTTAAGATTTGTTTTTCTCTTCTCACAGCAACATTTTCTTGAATTTTTTTCTGCACAGCTTTTCCAAAATAAAAACCTTCCAAACAATTCTGCCACTTGCAATCTCTCCTTTCCTCTGTCTCCCCAAAATCGCTGCACACTGCTGAGTGGCTCCTTTTTCCCTTCGGTCCCCGAGATTCACTCTCCTGTTCTTCTACGGCCTGTTTCCTCTGAGAGAATCTGACCCTCCCAGAATCTTGGCACGTGAAGGGTCCTTAGACGGCAGCCAGGAACACATACAAGCCCGAGATGCCTGCCTGTCCCCTGCTCAGATCTGGAACCCTAACAGAAGTGACCAGAGCAAATCAAACTCTGCCAGCCAGGCCTGAGAAAAGATTGATGTATTTTTTTTTTTTTTTTTTTTTTTGAGTTCCAACCCCAAAAATATTCCAGGAAAAGATAGGGGGCAGGCTGGGCTGGTTCTTCTTCAATGGGCTTTTGCCGCCAAGGAGGACAGTGGACTTAGCCCACATCCAGGCTACCCCCAGCCCGCTTCTCCCCTGCTTAGCCCAGGGAGGAGACAGTAGAGGTGGTGGGGGCAGCCAGGAGGGAGGGGCCAAGGCAGTGATGCTTTCGGGTAAGAAGTTGGGCTGAGGCTGGGGACACAGGGAGGAGCTGCCCATGTGCAGTTACCGTTGCTCAGTGTCAGAGCCTCAAAGCTTCGCCAGGGCTGAAGGTACCACACAGGTGTGGGTGAGGCAGGCTAAGCGGGATGGCTGTAGCCAGGGAGATGAGGAGGGCAGGGCTCAGGGCTGGCCCTCTCCCCTCTAACTGATGATCTGCCGAGGTCGTCCGTAGCCTGTCATGCCGGCCTGGGAGGCCCCTCTGTTGGTGCCCATCTGAAGGCCAATGACATGCTTTCCCTCCTGCAGCTGGCTCTCTGTGAATTCCCTCTTATGCTCCTGCGCTTTCCTAGAAAAGGAGGAACCAGGATAAAGACTTGCTAGAACTGTGTGTTTTCCACCTGTTTTCTGATCCCTCTTGTTACGTCCTAGCCCGATCCCATTGCCTTCCTGTTTCATGTTTTTTCCCTAATCTAGCTTGCCTCATAGGCTAGGGAGACTGAGCGCAGGAGGGTGGAAAGGGAGGGGTCAAGGAGTATTAAGGACCCGTTATTCCTGATCCCAGACCCCCACTTCATCCCTTCTTGGCTATCTGCTTCCCCTAATCCTTCCCGCAAGCTCCTTAGCACAAGCTGTCTCCCACCCCATGTGGAAACACAAGCTCCCTGGGGGCCACATACTTCATAAACCAGTTGGGATCTCCACGGTAGTGCCCGTCATTCTTGGTGACTGCCAAGCTGCCCAAAGCCATCAGGGTTCTCTGCACTGCTGCCATGTCTTTGCCTGTGAGAAGACAGGAGAGAGGAGACGAATATCAAGAACGTATAAACAAGACTCCAAGCCAGGGCCTGCCCCCGTCTCTCACAAAAAAATAGCCAAACCAGGGGCAAGAGCTGTCCCCAATTCAAGGGAGGCCTCTCAGTGGGTCCTGTGAGCGTGGCGTGTTATTCTCGGCATATCCCATCCCTGCTGTGTGCAGGCGAGCACACCCCTAGTTGTGGCATATTCTGGTCATCCCCTCTCTCTGCCCCAGCACCCTGTCCTCCTGCCCACCTCCTCCCCCAGCCCTTTCTTCCTCTCTACCTTCAAAGAGATCAACAGTCTGGAACATGTCAGTCTTGATGACCCCATAGTCCTCAGCCGCCTTCAGGAACTGAGCCACCTGCTCCATCTGCTTGAAGACCATGGATGGCGGGTTCTCAGGCACCTTCACCGGCTTGGAGCCATCAGGGTACAGGCTGTTCACCAGCTTGCTCAGAATCTACCAGGCATAGGGCATAGGACGCAGCTTAGCACTCAGCTCAGGGATTGGTCCAGGACTCATAAGGTGGCACACCCTAGCCCCCCAGCCCAGGGTGCCACTCACCACGCCATTCTTCAGCCAGACCTGGAAGCCCAAGCGCCCACGGTCTGGGCGGCCCACATCAGGGCCGCACTGCACTATGATCCACTCCACCAGCCGCTCCTCCAGCTCCTCATCATACTTCTTCTCGATTTTGGACTGCACTTCGCGGCTCATGCCATAGGAAGGACCCTTGTTGGCCATGTTTGGGGAGAGCTAAAGCAGGCCAGGGTGGAGGAGGGAAGGGCAGAGGGTCAGAGGATCAGGGAGCAGCTCTGCTTTCACCTGTGCCAGGCGGCCTTCTAGCTCTGTGCAGGGTACCCAGCCATCCTAGACACTTGTCACAGTGCTGCCCATTCAGGCCAGGCTCAGCCCCTAGTCCAGACACCTCTCTGAACTTGAACACCAGGAAACAGGATACCAGGTCTTTGGAGGTCTAGAGCAGAGGTCAATAAACTGTTTTCGTAAAGGACAAGACAGAACATAGTTTAGGCTTTGCAGGCCGTGTGGTCTCTGCTGTTGCAGTGGGAAAGCAGCCATAGACAATATGTAACAAATGAACATGGCTTTGTTCCAATAAAACTTTATTTACAGAAGCAGACAGCAGGCTGGATTTGGCCCATGAGCTGTAGTTTGACAACCCTTGGTCTAGAACATTCTTTGCCAAGACCAGCCACAGAGCCACTGGAGAGGTCTTCCAGAAGCCACATTGCCCGCACAGAATACAGCCAGCTGGGGCGTTTGTCCAGCTGCAGGTGTGAGGGTTTACTGCCTCTGCCTCAAGGAACCATCACCTCCCACTCTCACCCAGAAGCTGGCCCTGGCCTGGAAGCCAGAACTCCAGAACTGCAGCTCTTTTCAGGTCAGCTCAGCTTCTGGTCTGCAGCTGAAGAGACTAAAACTTGCCGACCCCAGGCAAGGGCTAGGAAGCCACCAAAGCCCAAGAGCTCTTGGCAAAGAAGCTGCATTTCCTCAGAGGAACCAGAGACACCTGGTCTACCCATCGACTTCCCCTCATGCCCTTATGGTCTCATAAGGCCACCCTTAAGGAGTAGCCTGAGTAACCAAGAAGTCAGAGTCCCCCAGGGATCTTCCAGAGCCAAGAGTCTGCCTGCCAGGGAATGGGAAGCCCGGCCCCATCCAGCAACTGCCACCCTGAGGGCCTGGGCCTGGCACTGCTCAGGAGTCCCACTTATGGAGAGGGGTGGCAGCAGGAGCAGGCCAGGCAGGTAGGTCCCTGGGCAGATGGATGGGGGTGGCTGGGAACAGGAACAGGAACCTGACTTGGCCACTAATGTCACCCTAGGGTGCTGTGCCTTCTCTCCAGTGTTTGTCTGAAGAGACTTCCAAAAGAGGTACCAAAGGAAGCCGAACCCATCTCCTGGCCTCAGAGGGTCAGAGGTTGGGAGGGACACACTGGTCTGAGGACGGAGGCAAGAGCACGCTCTCCCGGCCCCCTCTCTGGTGAGACCCCTCCTCACCGGCACCCCACCTGCGGGAAGCAGAGCAAACACTATGACACCCCAGCGGTCCCGGGCCAGCTGCCCAGCCCAGTGCCCTGCCCTTCCTTTCCCAGGGCTGACAGCCTTTCTGGGCTCGAGTTCCTCATCCGTGAAGTGGGGGTTATGTTATCGACCTCAGAGGGCTGTGAAAATGGGACAGTGTCTGTGAACTCCCTCACATATTGCCCAGCCCTTAGCAGAGCTCCTCGAAATGTCAGTTCTTTGCTGCCCAGAGCCAGGCTCCTGGTGATGACCAGGGAGAGAGCCTGCTTTTGACCAAGGAGTGAAAAACTGACCTAGAAATGTCAGTTCCTTGCTGCCCGCTCCAGCCTCCACCCCTTTCTCACCATCATTCCCCGAACACGCAGCAGCGTTCACATGGACTCATCGAAGCGCCTGCCATTGGGCATCCCTCTCCTCCTTGCGTCTATTTCCTTATGTGTAAAGTGGGGGCAGGACCACCTCTGAGGACCCAGTTCTCTGAGCACTGGGGATGAGGTGGGCTTCTGGCCCAGCCAGCCCTCTCCCTGCCAGTGATGCCAGAGACCCCAGAGACAGTGCTCTGTTCCGCTGTTCAGCTACAAACAACCAATCCTTCCCTTCACCCTAAGTGTCCCAGCCCCGCTCCCCAAACACCCAAGGACTCCTGCACAAAGAACTGTGGTCCAAACCCCCAAGCCAGCGGGGACCAGGTGATGTCGGTAGCCCTGCATCCTGGCCTCCATCCACCGCAGCCTGTCTCAGCTTTTGCACCACCATCCCAGACAGGCACCCACCTTCTGTCCCTGGCCCTGCTTCTGCCCCCCACTCCACCTGCCCTCATGCCTGCCTTCCCCTCCTGCACCCCTGCTGGGCTCCTGAGGAACCGGATGGAAAGAGTGTGTGTCCCCTACCCCCAGCTTCCAGTCTCAGGAGGATCAGAACAGACAGTACAGGTCAAAGCAGCAAGGCGAAGGGTGGCAGGTACACAACAGTGCAGCCCCCAGATCTAGAGATAAGATTTGGATTTTGGTCAGAGGGAGGATGAAGCACACACCACCCCCACTCCCACCCAGCACCACCGTCCTCCCCTTCCTCCTCCTGGGTCAGGGTCTGAAGGTGGAGAATCCCCAGAAACCCTTTAGAGTCCTCTGATGAAGCCTCCCCAGTCCCACCTTCGAGCCAGTGGGGAGGGGAGAGGATGACTACAGGGCAGCCCACCCAGGGGCATCTCAAGACACTCCCAGGACAGCATGGACAGGCCTGGACCCTCCTGCCCTGTGGCTCCTGCCAGGGCCCCTCCCCTGAGCTGAGGTGAAAGTGGGCAGTGGAGAAAGAAAGTCCGGGGCAAACGGGCAGGTGGCACCCCCTACCAGCAGAAGCCCAGAAACACGAGTAGAACCAGGGGACCCTGCAGGGCTGCTGTGCCCCTTCTCTCTTCCCAAATAGGAGTGAGCACATCTGGACCTCTGAGAGGGCAGGAGGGTGGCTCCTCTCCACTCCACGGACAAACAGAGTGGCCTGGCTACATAAATGCGCGCCATCCTCACTGCTACCTTTGGAATAGTACCTCGAAAGGAAACTACGCTTTGGAGAAGACCAAGGGTCCCAGGCCTGCCCTGTCCATCACTCCGAAGCTCCTCCTTGGCAGTACCCGCCCCCACCCCTCTGCTACAGTGCGGGTGACCTCCCACTGTCAGACAGTGGAAGGGGATGCTTGTCGGAAGGACAGGCCCCCCATCTCCACACTCCGCTGCTCCAGACTGTGGAATACAAGAGTTCTGTGGCCCTTCACATTGTCGCAGGGCTATCGCTGCTGCTCAGGCCCTGGGGACCCGCCAGAGTGGGACACCGTGCTCCAACACAGGTGCATTCACCCACTCCTCACCTCCTTGGAGGTTCTAGAGGGGCGACGGACAGCAGAGCCTTGGCCTAACCAGCCAGCACCTGCAGCCTTACGCACACCCTGTGGATGCGGCTGACTGAGATGGGGAGCCTCCCTCTTACCCCGGTGGTTTCCACCATCAATTCCTCTGCACCAGCCAAGTCATCCCAGGCATTACAATGAGCCCAGGGCTGCCCGGTCTGAGAGAGATCCAGGACACTAGCGATCCAGCCCACTCTGCCTGGAGCTTGGGCCCCCACGCAGACTAAGAGGTGAGTTTTTCCCCAGCCAGGAGCTGGCGCCTGGGACCTCACGAGAGCCTGCCTGAAATGCACCCACTGTTCCTGTCCATCTCCAGCCCAACTTCCCTCCAAGCCCCAGCCAGTGCACTCACAGGGCTTCCTCAGGGCTCGCAGGAAGGAGTGAAGACTTGTGTCTGGGCTTGGACAGACAGGATGGGGCGCTGGCTGGGTGAGGGGTTTAAAGGGCTGCCGCTGTGGTGATGTCAGCCTCCCCCGCTGGCTTGCTCCTCGGCCCCCTCCCTGCTGGAGGAAGCCGGCTCCCCTCCCCACCCCCGGCTCCCCCAGTGACTCCACACAGGCTCCATATTTGGGGAAAGACACCAAGTTGGAGCAGTCTATCGGGGCTGCCGAGACATTCTCTGCATGCTTTGGAGATGGAGCGGGCCAGGGCGGGGCATGCTGCCGGCGGGGAGCCGGCCCGGGAAAAGCCTTTTATGGACAGGACCCTGCCCGGACTTACGGCTGCTCCTACTTCACTGCTTTCTGGCCCCGAGTTTGAGAAGAGGGGGAGTTCAACAGAGTCTGGCTGGAGAGAAGGGCAAGGGGCTGGGGAGCCGGGGATCCCAGGGGTTTGTGGGGACAAACCAGCCCCCCTCTCCTCCTGGGGCTTTTAGCTCTGATGGGACATGGATCCAACCTTTCCTGAGGACCTACTCCACACCAGGCCCTCTGCAGTGCCCTCTGAATACTCACAGCTACATTGTGAGGATGTAATTACATCCCCATTTTACAGATGAGGAAACTGAGGCCCCGAGTGCATCTTCCTCAAGACCACATGGTGAATGGTGAGTGGCAGAGCCTGCGCACCTCTGCCGACTCCCGTGGGTGCAGGAGAGGTGGTCAGACCTACCCTTTCAATTGTACCACACTGCCCAGGTTGAGAAGAGCTTTCAGTTCAGGTAGGTCTTGAGTTACATGCTTTAGGCTGGGATTTGAGGGTTCGGCAGAAGCTGTGTCCAACTCTGGTCCCCATCCAGTGGGCAGTGTCAATAAGAGGGTCTCTAAGGCCTGGCAGGGCCTGAGACACTAACGCAGGAACAGGAGACTCAGGAGGCTGGTATCCCTTCCTCCCTTTAGTAACAGTCCCTACCAGCCTGGAAAACAGACCAGCCTCTGTCCCTCCACGGAGATGACCCACTCCCATCTTGCTTGTACCTGGCTTCAGGGATCCTGGGGAGAGACAGGAGGTTAAAAAAGGTGAGACTAACAGTGGGGTCCCTGGACTGCCTGCTGTGGCACTCCCCTGCAAGGGCACCTGGTAGGGAGGACCTAACACTCTCCGCTACACACACGCCACCACACCCGACACCACCCCAAGCCAAACAAGGCCCTAGGAGGGGGCTGCCAGGCCTGGCAGAGGAGAGACCCACCCCTGCAGTTCTGCCCACTGCAGCCAGATGCGCTCGAGCCCAGGGGAGGCACAGCCATAGCACCTCCCAGTGGCGCCTGCGGGAAGAGCAGGAAGAGGAGCGGGGCCCCGGCAAGGGGAAAAAGCCCACTCCTCCATCCCTGACGCCGCAGACCTCTGGTTGTGTTCTGAATTCACCAAACTCCTTGGCCTCCAAATCGTGTCCTCCTTAGCTGACTGAAGTCTCAATGAACCTTTCAGGGACATATCAAAACTCCCTCCTCTTGGAACCTGCCCAGCTTCCATCACCCTCCTGCCTCAGCCTGCATGCTCAGCAGATTACAAACGCCCCATCAGGGAGCACCGCCTGGGCCTGTGGCCTGGTGAGCTGGGGGGCACTCAGGTCAGAGGTGAAGCGAGCCTCAGTCTGGGGGGCGGGGCCAGGTGGGCAGAGACTGCTGTTCCTGGGGAGGTAAGGACGGGTGTCTGGGGGGATGGCGTGGGAAAGGCTTTTTCAGTAACCAGCCTCTATCCAGCACAGTGCCCTGGTAAGTGTTTACTGAATTAATGCTGTTGCTGGAGAGACAGGAAAAATGGGAGAATCAAGGAACTGCAGTTCCCAGTAGGGCCATGGCTTAAAGGAAGGGGAGATGGAGGCCCTTCGCCTCTCCCCTCATCCTCAACAGCTCCACCCAGAGAGGGAGTGCAAACAAGGGGCCCAACAGCTGAGTCTGGTTGTTTATTGAATGCAAACTCATTCATAGAAAACGGAAATGCAACCATAGAATGGAAACGCTCTGAGAAAAGATCCAGACCCACCTCATCTCCCAGCCCACGCAGAGCTATAAAAACAAGTTTGGGAGAATAAAACACATTCCCATCCCCAAGGCAGAGGCCCCACCTGAGCTCCCCCATCCTTGGCATCTGGAGCGGACCAGGTGGGACGAAGGGGCTCCAAGGACCAGGGTGGCCAGGGCGCCCAGAGCTGAGGCAACTCAGTGTAAACTCCAAGGTTTCGCAGGCATGTGTGTGCGTGACTAACAGAACTTGGCTGAAGACTGGACGGAAACTCAGAAGCCAGCCCTGGGTCCTAGAACGAGGCTAGGACTGGGCACGTAGAGGGAAACAGCGCATCCCTTCCTGAAGCCCCTTTCTAAGGCAGGCACCGGGGCGCCCGCGGCTGTGGAGGTGGCACGAGCTGAACTCTTTGTACCGTCCCTCCTTTGCCCCTGGACATTCTTGGGCAGCGTCAATGGCACTGAAAGGCCCCCAGCTGGGGCTTGGCAGGAGTAAGGGCCTCGAAAGAAGGAAGGGAAGGGGTGAGGTGCTTCTCCCTCCAGTCCTGGTGCTGGCATCAGTCTGGGGGCTGATGGGATGAGGAGGTGACCTCTGAACTCAGCCTCTTGAATCAGAAGGCTGTTCTCAAATTGGGCTGACCACATTGCTAAAGAGCCAGCCCTGAGCACAGGTCACAGGGAAGAGAGTACTCACCGCCCTGGGCCCCTTGCAGGCCTTAGCACCAAAAGTCTGGCACCAGCTGGCCAACCCCCAAAATCTCATACCTCCATCCATCCTGGCTGACTGGAATGGGCAGTGATGACAGCCAGGGACAGCCCCAAAGAGAACTGGGGCCCTGATACAGGACAGAGATTCAGGCCCCAGACTAGGCCCTGAAGCGGGAGTATGGGAGGAAAAAGGGGCCTTAGGTCCCAGGCTGGGGCATTGTGGGGAGGAGGATGGGCAAAATGCAAGGCATGAAATGGGGAGGGTGTTCCTTCCATCCTTCCTCTTGCAGAGGGACAAATGGAGAGCCAAAGGACGGGGGCCCATGGAAGGCCCCAACACTGAGAAGAAAGCAGCAATTTGGCCAATGTCCGGGAGTTCCAGGGGAGCAGGCCTCCTCCTTGGCAGAGGACAGCTGCAAGGCTCCATGCCACCCCATGACTGTCCCAGGCCAAGCCTAGGCTAGACCTGGCTGTCCTGCTGCCATCCAGTGCTGGGCAGCGGTGCTGGGACTCATCGCCACAGCACGACAGAGTGCCTGGTCTGTGACATAAAGGAGCTCAGGGCCCCCTGAGGTGAAGCGAAGGGCCCAGCTCCTGCTAGAAGACATAGATCTTGTCCCGCTGCACAGTGTCCAGGTCGTCATCCAGTGTCAGCAACACCTGGGGGGTGGACGCCAGATCAGCCACAGAGGAGGCAGCTGCTACCTTCACGCACCCACCCGGCTTGGCCAAGAGGCCCGCTTACCAGGAAGGACCCGAACATGGCGATGGAGGAGAGGAAGTGCCAGATGTCGTGGTCGTCAAAGAAGTCAAGGAGGATGCAGTCCCGGTTGTGCTCCCTTGACTCCGCAGGGGTTTTCTTGGGGAGCAACAAGAAAAACTGCCGAGTGACCCTGCTCTGCCAGGGCCAGGGCCAGACCCATCTGCCATCTTGCTCCTGGGCACCCCTCTCTCCAGCCCCAGGCAGGACAGCAGCAATTCTGACCTGTCCCTTGTCCCCACCCCTTCCCGATCTAAGAAATGGCCTTTGGTTACAAACTTCTCCCTGAGTTCACTGGCTTCTCTTCCCCTTTCTTTCACTCCTACCCTCCTTCCTTCTGATTCTCTTCTCTTGATCTAAGAGCACAGGGTTGCAACAACCTTGAAGGCCTTCAGCTCAGGGATGGCAGAAGGCTTCTCACCCACTTCCCGGCCTTGGACTCCGCCCCTGCTCTCATCTTTCTGCAGGTTCATTGGTTTTTCCAAAGCACTACTGTCAGGTCACACCCCTGCTCTGGGACAGTAGCCATAACCTGTGGCACTCACGGTCTTCCCTGCTCTACCCATAAGCTCTATCCCATAAGCTCATCCAGGCCGTGTCTGTCTGTGCTACATGCTGAGGCCACAGACATCACCAAGACCTGCCCCACCCTCACAGTCGGCTTGGCTCCCAGATGAGTGCATTCACTGACCTCCAAATCTGCCCCGTATCATTACTAAGGTCAGAGCAGGTCTGGGCTATGGGGCTCTTCCCCATTTCCCAAACCTGTTTTTTTTTTTTTTTTTTTTTTTTTTGAGACAGAGTCTCGCTCTGTCACCAGGCTGGAGTGCAGTGGAGAGATCTCGGCTCACTGCAACCTCCACCTCCCGGGTTCAAGCAATTCTCCTGCCTCTGCCTCCCGAGTAGCTGGGACTACAGGCACACACCATCACGCCCAGCTAATTTTTGTATTTTTACTAGAGATGGGGTTTCACCATGTAGGCCAGGATGGTCTCGATCTCTTGACCTCGTGATCCGCCCACCTCAGCCTCCCAAAGTGCTGGGATTACAGGCGTGAGCCACTGTACCCAGCCCCCCTCACCCAAGACTTTTATAGCCCAGAACAAGGCCCACTTCTTCCAGGAAGCTTTCCTGGACTCCTAACTCGGAGAGACCCCTTAGTCTTCTGTCCTCCTGCCCCGTCTTGCCTGTGCCCTTCATTTCATGTATCACATCATAAACAGCACTAAGAGTCATGCACCAACAGTCCTTCCAGCCCTCTTCATCTAGTTTATGAGTCCCTCAGAGACCATGTCAGACTTAGTTCTGTTCCCAGAATTAAAGCCTGACATGTGGTAGGTGCCCTGCAAGGCAGAGAAGAGAGCCCAGCCTCGCTGGCTTCAAACACCAGCTGTGCCGCTCACTGGCGACGTGCCCTGGGGAAGTCACGTGGCCTCTCTGAGCCTCATCTGCCTCGTTAAGTAAAATGGAGCTATCTCCAGGCTGGAATTCTAGGAGGATTAACTGGGACAGTTGCTATGAAAGTGCTGGCCTATGGTAGGTGTTCCCAAATGATGTTTGCGTAAAAATTCTTTTTAGAGACGGGGTCTGTCACCCAGGCTAGAGCACAGTGGTGCGATCTCGGCTCACTGCAGCCTCAAACTCCTGCACAGGCTATCTTCCTGCCTCCGCTTCCGGGGTAGCTAGGACTACTGCACTACTGGTGAATGCCACCACACCAGGCTAACTTTTTTATTTTTATTTTTTTCATTTTTTGTAGAGACGGGTTCTTACTATATTGCCCAGGCTGGCCTTGAACGCCTCAAGCGATCCTCCTGCCTCAGCTTCCCAAAGTGCTGGGATTATAGGTATCAACCACCAAGCCCAGCCCCAAACAATGTCTGAAAAGAGGACCGGCCCCTTGTGAGCTCGTGAGGAGCCTGTGGGTGAGTGCTCACCTGCCAGGTGCTGAGTCCCTGGAAGAAGAAGAAGAGTGCGAAGCCCCAGACCACAGAGGTGCAGACGATGCAGAGCAGGGGGATGAGCTTGATCCTCTCCCCACTCCGGAGCTGGGAGGGGCCAGGAAGGGACAGCAGTCTGAGGGCTCACCCCTGTCCCACCCCACTGTCCCACCCAGCCTTTCCCAGATTCCCTTTCCTCATGGCCTCCCAGGCCTTCAGGACTGCTCCTTGGATTCATACCATTCCACACAACCACAGAGATCAACCTGCCCCCACCCCGATGTCCACCCCACCCGGCCTCCATGCATCCAGAACCCTGTGTCGGGACAGTGTACTGGCCTGGAGGTGCTCCCTATGCAGGGGGCTCCAATCAGATTGGATGGCAGGATGGTTCCTGGGGAAGCACCTGATCCTGGGAGGCCCACACCCTACCTCCCCTCGGCCCCTTCTGCATGAAAAGGGGCACTTACAACGGCAGCCTAAAATGCCACCCATTTCAAGGGTCCTTGGAAGGGGCTCAGAAAATGGCCTTTGGGCTGCAGTTGGCTCCTAGGGGCCCATGCAAGAGGCTTTAGCCTCTCCCCTCCGCAACCAGCAGTCTCACTGCCCCTCAGTGCTGCCGGGCCCATCTCTCTCCCCAGAAAGCAGAGGATCTGATAGAGTGCCAGCCTCGCTCACCTTCATGATGATGTAGAAGGCGAAGTAAAGGAGCAGGTTGCAGATACCAATGGCCAACAAGTAGGAAGCGAAATCGTTGGGGCGCATGATGAGCCCATAGGCAGCCCTGGCAGGAGGGACGAAGAGTGGTGAAGCAGGAAGGCCAAAGGCAAGGAAGTGCTCTTCCTGCCCTGCCCCGCCATGTTTTATTATGACGTTGGGCTGCATTCCGAGGCCCACAGAAGATTCTAGAAGCCCAGATGCCGAGAGAGAGGAGAGGCCAAGACCTCTCTTCTTAGCCCTCATGTCTTATGCCCAACATTTGGAAGTTGTCCTCAGCCCCTGATGCAGCCAGTGGCTGGCTGAGTCCCCAGCTG